TGTTAAGATAAGGGGGAACATTTTTGTAAACACTTAGAGTGAAAGGGAAAAAAAACATTCCACAATAGAATTAGCACTGAGAGTGCTTAAGCTCTGCAAGATGGGTTGCAATAATGAAAGCAGAAAAAAAATTTAGAAGGTCAGTAGGACTAGCAGATGACAGTCTGTATGCTTTGCAATAGTTAATGAAAGAAAGAAAACTTAGGTCAGTAGAGAAATGAGTGCAGGGGTGTCTGTCTCTAAAAAGCTGAATAGTGAGTTTAAGACTCGTCAGTGATAACGTGTGGCAGGATTCTAACAAGGTTTCTTCTGTGACAGTTAAAAGCAAACTTTCTCTGTCCACGTAATATAAGCAATCTTTCAATAAAAGAAAACAGTTGATAAGCATTTGGAGGCCAAATATAGCTCTCAAATGATGCCAGTTGCCACTCTACTTCAAGAATTGCAAAAGAGGTACCAAGTTTGCTTAGTAAATCATGGCTCCATAAAATATAGGAGTCTGGCAATTTAAAAGAAAGAAATTGAGCTCTCCTCTGAGCTCCCTGTCCCCTTAAAGACCACAGGGGGCCTATGGCCTTGTTATATGGCTGTTGCCAGATCAGAAAGAGAGGGGTCTTTGCCCAGTCCAGTTATTAAACAACAACATTCTTGCAAAGTGGTTTGTATAGCCAGCTGATGTATTATTTGTTTGGGCGTTTCTGCAGTATCATTTTGACGTTGTAAAGTTTCCTGCAGGTTATTAATAAAATCAAGATATGGCCTAGAAGCTTTTAGTGTGAAGAGTGTGTAGCTGCTCTGGAACTAGAATGTGATGCTTCATTAGAGTCTCTATCATTTCTTGAACATAGGAATTCTGTAAGTCTATGTTCTGACTTCCCTTGTGCAAGTCTGTTACCATAGGGTATGAAATGGGTTTAATTTCAATAATGGTAGTGCCAGTTGTTTTTTGATTTTCAGTGAAATGCACTGGGCACATAGACAATATTTCAGAGCTCTCTTTAATGTCCTGTAAGGAAGAGGTCTGATTCTTTAAATGATCTATCAGAACACTTTTTGAAGTGGGAAGTGAAAGAGTGGTAAGAGAATGCTGCTGCTTATCAAGCTGAGCCATTGGCAACAGGCTCAGTGGAGTGAGGAGAGGGTATGCCTCTGAAATCAAAGTTGGAGCTGAAGTCAGAGTTGGAACTGAAGGCAGAGGGGGATAGATTACAATAGACTGTGGTGGCTTAGGTAAAACCAATTGAGACCCTTGGGAATAAGCAAGGGAGGCCTTTGCATTGCATGTAAGAGAGGCCAGAGGAAAAACAGGTGCAATTGCATTGATTGCAAATCTGCATATAAACCAAGACTTTAACACTGCAACAGGAGCTTTAGGCTCTGTGTACAATATCTCCCAATGATATCCCAATCTCTTAATGCCAAAGATCCCTCCTCTGGATACCAAGAACATTGGCTTTGAATCTCAAAAAGCATTTGTGTGAGGGTCTCAGTAGAAACTGGCCTGCCAGCTTTCTGGGTAAGAATCTGTAGCTCCTTTAAATGTTCCTGCAGGGGTAATGCTAGTTAATACCCATTATCTCACCAATGAGGGGTCGCGAATTACGACGAGGAAGTACTTCTTGAGGCCTTTGCCAGGCGTTGGTGAGATTGATCCGTGTAGAGATGTCCCTGTTCGGGCGCCACTTGTGGTGCTGCTCCTTGTGGTGTGGGGGTGCAGGCGAAGCAAAGACGACAGGATACAAACAGTTGCAGGAACTGATCTGAAACCTCTCGGCTTCCCAGCATTTATTTATACACCTTTCTTCCCCCTTCTCCCTCCCTCTCCCTCCATAAGGGAGTTACAAGCATTAGAGCATCCTTTTGGAGTGTGTGTGTGTGTGTGTGTTTCCAGGCAGCTGTCCGCTATCTGCCTCTTCCCCTTTCTCAAGGCTAACTGACTGCGTAGTTTAGCCAGTCACCAGACTTCTCTTAGCACACAAACACTTTTGGGTTACCAATCTCTAGGCAAGAGATTCCTGCACTGCCCTACATCTCCCTTATTCATTGATGTTTGGAATTTAAAAAGATGGTTGTAATATAAGGACAGAGTATGAACTTAAAACTTGTTTTTGATCCCTTACCATAAGTTAATTGAAAATGAAATTTATGGCTGACACAAGAAGTATTATTATGAGTTAAATTGTTTAAGGTAGTGTGTTTGAGATTTTATTATAATTCTGTTATAGAATTCATGTCTAGGATTAGAGTGAGGACTGCAATGTAAGGATAGAGGGTGAATTTAATACTTGCTCTGGTGTAATTGAAAGTGAAATCTATTGTAGGTACCAGAAGTATCATTTTGATTTAAATTGTCTAAAATTAGTGTGTATGTTTTATTGTTATATAAATTAATTTTGTTATGGAAGTTATGTTGGGGGTTAGAGTGGTAATTATGAATTAATTTGGAAGGTGAATGAAAGTAGTGGGGTGTCTTAGAGAATAAGTCTTGTAAGAATAAACTGGCATGTAATCCCGCCTTGGGTTGCTTTACCATAAATTAATTGGAAATGAAAAGCATTGTGATGATTTAAAGTGCTTAAAATTAATATTTAGGTTATTTCATTATATAAATTAATTTTGTTATGGTATTTATATTTGGGATTAGAGTAGTAGGTAATAATGAATTTAATGGGCTCTGTAAGTGATTAGTCATGTGAATATTTCAGTTGAGTATATTATGGTTATTTTTTCTGGTTTTTTTAAAATTAGAATGAATGAATAGAAGAAAGTTAAATAGAAAATAAGGGATTGATTTATTAATAAGTTAATTGGTTATATGGAGTACTGGCAGAAAAATAAAGATGTTATAATGAGTCAGATTAGAACAACTGGTGGGGATCCTGGGTAATGCAATCTAAATTTCTGGTATGAGATTAGAGAGAATTTATAATACATGTATGTACAATCAAGTTATTTGATCAATGTGATGTGTTGAGAATTTATGTTTGTTATTGTCTTATATGTGTGTGTGTCTATTGAGCATAAAAAACCTAATAAATATATTTTAAAAAATGTGGCAAATGGGGTTCAATGTGGCCAAGTGCAAAGTGATGCACATTGGAGAAAAAAATCCTAAGTATAAATACACGTTGATGGGGTCCGAACTGATAGAGACTGACCAAGAGAGAGAGCTTGGAGTCGTAGTAGATAACTCACTGCAAATGTCGAGACAGTGTTTTAGGGATTATTAGGAAGGGTATTGAAAACAGATCAGCCAGTATCATAATGCCCCTATATAAATCAATGGTGAGACCTCATTTGGAATACTGTGTGCAGTTCTGGTCACCACACCTTAAAAAGGATATTATAGCTTTAGAAAAAGTGCAGAAAAGTGCAACTCGAATGATAAAAGGGTTGGAACACTTTCCCTATGAGGAAAGGTTAAAGCACTTAGGGCTCTTTAGCTTGGAGAAACAACAACTGAGGGGAAACATGATTGAGGTTTATAAGATTATGCATGGGATAGAGCAGGTAGAGAAAGAAGTACTTTTCTCCCTTTCTCACAATAAAAGAACTCGTGGGCACTCAATGAAATTGCTGAGCGGTCGGGTTAGAACGGATAAAAGGAAGTACTTCTTCACCCAAAGAGTGATTAACACATGGAATTCTCTGCCACAGGAAGTGGTGGTGGCTACAAGCATGGACGGCTTCAAAAGGGAATTAGATAAGCATATGGAGCAGAGGTCCATCAGTGGCTATTAGCCACAAGGTATAGGTAGGGGCTCTGGGGCAAGTGATGCTCTGTCTTCTTGGTGCTTGGGGGGGGTCAACAGTGGGAGGGCTTCTGATGTCCTGGCCCCACTGGTGGACCTCCTGATGGCACTGGTATTTCTGGCCACTGTGTGACACAGAGTGTTGGACTGGATGGGCCTTTGGCCTGATCCAACATTGTCGTCTCTTATGTTCTTATGTAATGCATTTAATTTTGCCTTAAGGATTCTAGAAATTTTGATAATCTGTACAAAAAACATGACAAAAGAATATCATTAAGAAGCAAGGGAATACTTAAATGTATTTTGTAGAAAACTATGGTAGAATACTTAGACAAAAAGGTAATCAGTAGAAAACATGTTAACCTACTGAGTTGTAAAACTGAAAGATAGAGGTATAGAAAAATAGCAGTGGAATGTTTAGATATTGCTTAAATAGTAAAAATACTATGGTGGCAAGAGTGGTAGTTAGATACATATGTATGAGGTAGTTTAAAGGATATAGTGTTACTGGTATTACTCTCATATTTGTTTGTATGTTTGTTTGTCATGTCTTGTCTGAAAATAAATTTAAAAGATTATATAAAAAAGACACTTTCATTGAGCTATCTACTACAACCCCAAGATCCAGTTCAGACCCCATTAGGCCATGCCAGACCTCATTAGCCTCCCCAATGCATTTTCCTCCATGTGGGTTCTCTAGTGTCAGTGAAGACTGCTATTGTTACTCAACGTCTTTCTACACTCTGAACACGCAAAATGTTTCTTCCATGTGAGTTCTTAGGTCCTGTTGAAGATGGCAGCCCAACCTGAATCTCTTTCCAAACTCTGAGCATTCAAAAGGTTTCTCCCGTGTGGGTTCTTTAGTGCAGCTGAAAAGTGCTACTCTGACTGAATCTCTTTCCATACACCTGGCATACAAAGGGTTCCTCCGCTGTGAGGATTCTCTGATGCTGTTATAGACTTCCACTCCAACTGAATTTCTTCCCACACTCCGAGCATTCAAAAGGGTTTTCCCATGTGGTTTGTCAGATGCTGTCTAAGACTGCCACTCAACCTGAATCTATTTCCATACCCTCAGTATTCAAGTGATTTCTCCCCTGTGTGGGTTCTGTGATGCCGATGAAGATGGCCACTCCAACTGAACCTCTTTCCACACTCTAAGAAATCAAAACGTTTCCTCCTGTGTGAGTTCTTAGGTGAATTTCAAGATTGCCCTTCACAGTAAATCTCTTTCCGCACTTTGAGCATTCAAATGGTTTCTCCTGTGTGGGTTCTCTGATGCTTTTGAAGACGACCATTCTCACTAAATCTCTTTCCACACTCTAAGCATTCAAAAGGTTTCTCCCCTGTGTGAGTTCTCTGATGCCGCTGAAGAGTGCCATTCTGTCTAAATCTCTTTCCACACTCTAAGCATTCAAAAGGTTTCTCACCTGTGTGGGTTCTCTGATGCTTTTGAAGATGGCCACTCTCAGTGAATCTGTTTCCACACTCTGAGCATTCAAAAGGTTTCTCACCTGTGTGGGTTCTCTGATGCTTTTGAAGATGGCCATTCTCACAAAATCTCTTTCCACACTCTAAGCATTCAAAAGGTTTCTCCCCTGTGTGAGTTCTCTGATGCCGATGAAGAGTGCCATTCTGACTAAATCTCTTTCCACACTCTGAGCATTCAAAAGGTTTCTCCCCTGTGTGAGTTCTCTCATGCTGATGAAAACTGCCACTCAAACTGAATCTCTTTCCACAATCTGAGCATTCAAAAGGTTTCTCCCCTGTGTGGGTTCTCTGATGCTTTTGAAGACTGCCATTCTCACTAAATCTCTTTCCACACTCTAAGCATTCAAAAGGTTTCTCCCCTGTGTGAGTTCTCTGATGCCGCTGAAGAGTGCCACTCTGACTGAATTTCTTCCCACACTTTAAACATCCAAAAGGTTTCTCCCCTGTGTGAGTTTTCTGATGCTGTTGAAGATGGTAACTCCCACTGAATTTGTTTCCACACTCTGAGCATTCAAAAGGTTTCTCCCCAGTGTGGGTTGTCAGATGCTGTTGAAGATTGCCACTCTGACTGAATCTCTTTCCACACTCTGAGCATTCAAAAGGTTTCTCCCCTGTGTGAGTTCTCTGATGCTTTTTAAGACTACCATTCTCACTAAACCTCTTTCCACAGTTTGAGCATTCAAAAGGTTTCTCCCCTGTGTGAGTTCTCTGATGCTTTTTAAGACTACCATTCTCACTAAACCTCTTTCCACAGTCTGAGCATTCAAAAGGTTTCTCCCCTGTGTGAGTTCTCTGATGCTTTTTAAGACTACTGTTCTCACTAAATCTCTTTCCACACTCTGAGCATTCAAAAGGTTTCTCCTCTGTGTAAGTTCTCTGATGCTGTTGAAGACTGCCACTCCCACTGAATCTGTTTCCACACTCTGAGCATTCAAAAGGTTTCTCCCCTGTGTGGGTTCTCTGATGCTTCTGAAGATGGCCAAGTTGACAAAATCTCTTTCCATTCTCTGAGCATTCAAAAGGTTTCTCCCCTGTGTGAGTTCTAAGATGCAGCTGAAGACTGCTGTGCCCACTAAACCTCTTTCCACACTCTGAGCCTTCAAAAGGTTTTTCCCCTGTGTGTGTTCTCTGATGGTACTGAAGACTGCTGCTATGCCTGACTTTCTTTTCACACACTGCGCATTCCAAAGGTTTCTCTCCTGTGTGAGTTTTCTGATCCTTTTGAAGACTTCTGTTCTTACTAAATCTTTTCCCACAGTCTGAGCGTTTTAAAGTTTTCTCCCCTGCATGAGTTTTCTGATGTTTTTGGAGACCACTAAATCTCTTTCCACACTCTGAGCATTCAAAAGGTTTTCCAGCTGTGTGAGTTCTCCGATGATGTCGAAGAAAGCCACTCCCGCTGAATCTCTTTCCACAAATTGAACATTCAAAAGGTTTTTCCCCTGTGTGGGTTTTCTGATGGAATTGAAGACTGCTACTATGCCTGAATCTCCTTCCACACTCTGAGCATTCAAAAGGTTTCTTGCCTCTGTGTATTCTTTGGTGCATAAGGAGCTGTGATCTGTTTCTGAAGTATTTCTCACATTGAATGGATTTACTATGCATTGGAAAACACTCACTTTTGTCTCGCTTCTCAACCATTGGGCTGCCTTTTTTCCTCTTAGGTCTGCCTTGAATCCTGACATTTTCTTTCAAATGTTCTTTTTTAACTCTATCTGGCATTTTCTGATGAAGTTCCTCACCCTCCTCATTCCTCTGATCATCTTCTGCTGGAATAAAAAGAGAGATCCTGTTAGCACTTGGGAGACGTGACTGGAGAAGGAAAGGATTGATTGTTCTTTGCTGCTTGGCTCTTCTTAAACATCCCTCCACCTTTCCCCAAAATATCTAGTATTTAAGGATACCTCACCCCCTCAACAGTCACAGCTGAGCTCTTGCCCAGAAGGAGTTTCTGAGCCTCCAGATTTCAGGCCCTCAGAAGGCCTCCCTTCCTTCTTACCCAGTGGGCTGTATGATTGTAGCAAACCAAATGTTGCTCAGAAGTGAATTAGTAATCCCCCGTGGCCATTCAGTGCCTGTTACCTTGTCATAACCATGAAGGATACTCACTCTCAACCAGCTCATCTGGGAAGGAAATCTCTTGGGATCCTCTTGGGAAACTCTCCAGCCTTTCTTCAGATTCTAGGCTGTTGCCTGTCTCTACTGAAGTCTCACTTTTATCTCTGGCATCTTTCAGAAAGAGAGAGGGAGAGGGGGAGAGAGAGAGAGAGGATCATTCTTATATGGGGAAGGAAATAAATTCAAGAGTAAAAATTCTGGAAGTATGGAACCAAGGTCAAGGTCAAAGCCCACAATTCCACCCAATGTAAGGGGAATGGATCTGTGAGGCTGAGCACCCTAGCTCCACCAAGGTTTAACGTCATTATTAAGTAGCCTGGTTCGACTCACTGGCGTTTGTGATTTGAGTCTCTCTGGAGCTTACATCCCTATCTTTGTCAAGGCCAGACTCCAGAATGTGGTAATCGGTTTATCGTGAAAACCTGTATTCAGCCGTGTAACTTTGAGTGAGGAGGAGGAGGAGACTGGATTACACCCTGCCCTTTACTCGCAGTCTCAGAGTGGCTTACAACCTCCTTTCTCTTACCCTCCCAGGCCTGTAGCCAGGATTTTTTTAATTTGGGGGAGCCTTTAGATAAATCAGGGAGCACCCCGCATACACCTCCAAGGGAGCGCCTGGGCTGGATGGGAAATCAGGGGGCCTTGGCAGTAAGGGGGCTAGGCCCCGAGATGCCCCACTGTAGCTATGGGCCTGTACTCCCCACAACAGACACCCTGTGAGGTAGCTGGGGCTGAGAGAGCTCTTTTGAGAACGAAATAATTGGACTTACCTGAAGGTTTCTTCTCTTCAGTGGGGCGAAGGCAGACAGACTGGCAAGGTCACGCCTCCTCTCGCTTCAGGCAGGGCTATGCAAATTTTTACGTATGCCTACCTGGACGGAGTGAGGCTGCCCTTCCAGTCATAAAATAGCCTAGCCCAAGCAGAGCTTCACACCACGCTTTAATATCATAAACCAGAAGAACCTTTAATACCAAAAACATGAACCAAACAAGAAAGAAAAAGATATTCTCCTTATCTTCAGCACCGGGAAGAAGAACTCAGACATCCATAACAAGTACAGCGGTGGGCAAAACTGGATGCCTTCGCCCCACTGAAGAGAAAAAACCTTCAGGTAAGTCCAATGTTTCGTTCTCCTTCAGTGGGGAAAGGCATCCAGTCTGGTTATATATCAAAGATCAGTCTGGGTGGGTAAAAGATGATAGTTGCTCATCCAATACCTGTGGGAGGACCCAACTCCTAAAGGCAGCCTCAGTGGAGGCCTGATTCTGTAGTGCCCCATAAAGAAGAAGAAAAGGAGATTGGATTTATACCCCGCCCTTCACTCGGAGTCTCAGAGCGGCTTACAAACTCCTTTCCCTTCCCCTCCCCACAACAGACACCCTGTGAGGTAGGTGGGGCTGAGAGTTAATCCCTCTCCAATCTGGTGTCTATCAGAGCACGAAGGTGGATGACCGTCTGAGATGGAATTAGTTGACTCTTCTGTACATTTATGAGGAACCCGTGTATCTGGAGGAAATGAACCACAAAGTTGATGTCCCGTTGACACTTCCTCTTGTCTGGTGCCCTGACGAATATATTGCTGAGATAGGGATATGTGTGTATCCCTTCTCTCCTCAGTGTTGCTATTAGCGTCACCAGGACCTTGGTGAACACACATGGGGAAGAAGAAAGTCCAAAAGGTAGTGCCCTGTATTGATAAGGCTTCCCCTGGAAGGCAAACTGAAGGTATTTCCAGCAGGCTGGGTGTATTGGTATGTGTAAGTAGGCTTTCTTGAGGCCTAGGGATGCCAAGAAGTCGCCCTGGTGTAGTGCCTGGAGGATGGATCTCAGTGACTCCATACCGATTTCCTGCTGCACCACCCAGACGCTGAGTTCCATTAGGTTCAGTATGGCACACCATTCGCCCGTTTTTTTTGGGACAACGAAGAGTACAGAGTACACCCCCTTGAAACATTACTGAGTTGGTACATAAGAACATAAGAGATGCCAATGTTGGATCAGGCCAAAGGCCCATCCAGTCCAACACTCTGTGTCACACAGTGGCCAGAAATACCAGTGCCATCAGGAGGTCCACCAGTGGGGCCAGGACATTAGAAGCCCTCCCACTGTTGACCCCACCCCCCCAAGCACCAAGAAGTCACAGAGCATCACTTGCCCCAGAGTCCTTATCTATACCTTGTGGCTAATAGCCACTGATGGACCTCTGCTCCATATGCTTATCTAATTCCCTTTTGAAGCCGTCCATGCTTGTAGCCACCACCACTTCCTGTGGCAGAGAATTCCATGTGTTAATCACTCTTTGGGTGAAGAAGTACTTCCTTTTATCCGTTCTAACCCGACCGCTCAGCCATTTCATGGAGTGCCCAAGAGTTCTTGTATTGTGAGAAAGGGAGAAAAGTATCTCTTTCTCTACCTGCTCTTTCCCATGCATAATCTTATAAACCTCAATCATGTCACCCCTCAGTCATCGTTTCTCCAAGCTAAAGAGCCCTAAGCGCCTTAACCTTTCCTCATAGGGAAAGTGTTCCAACCCTTTTATCATTCGAGTTGCCCTTTTCTGAACTTTTTCCAAAGCTATAATATTCTTTTTAAGGTGTGGTGACCAGAATTGCACACAGTATACCAAATGAGGTCGCACCATTGATTTATATAGCGGCATTATGATATTGGCTGATCTGTTTTCAATACCCTTCCTAATAATCCCCAGCATAGCATTGGCCTTCTTTATTGCAGTCACACACTGTCTCGACATTTTCAGTGAGTTATCCACTACAACTCCAAGATCTCTCTCTTGATCAGTCTCTGCCAGTTCAGACCCCATCAACGTGTATTTATAGTTAGGATTTTTGGCTCCAATGTGCATCACCTTGCACTTGGCCACATTGAACCCCATTTGCCATGTTGACGCCCACTCGCCCAAAATTGACAGATCCCTTTGGAGTGCCTCACAATCCTCACTGGTTTTCACCACCCTGAACAACTTTGTATCATCCGCAAATTTAGCCACTTCACTGCTTACTCCCATCTCCAAATCATTAATGAACAAGTTAAAAAGCAGTGGACCAAGTACTGATCCCTGCGGTACCCCACTGCTTACCACCCTCCACTGAGAAAATTGCCCACCTACACTCACTCTCTGTTTTCTATGAACTAGCCAGTTTTTGATCCATAAAAGGACTTGTCCTTCTATCCCATGATTTTTGAGCTTACTTAGGAGCCTTTGATGAGGAACTTTATCAAAAGCTTTCTGGAAGTCAAGGTAAACAATATCTATTGGATCCCCCTTGTCCACATGTTTGTTCACCCCCTCAAAGAACACTAACAGGTTAGTGAGACAAGATCTTCCCTTACAGAAACCGTGCTGAGTCTGCCTCAATAGGTTTTGTTCATCTATGTGCCTACTAATTCTTTCCTTAATAATGGTTTCCACCAATTTACCCGGTATCGACGTCAGACTGACAGGCCTGTAATTTCCCGGATCTCCTCTGGAACCCTTTTTAAAGATGGGAGTGACATTAGCTACCTTCCAATCCTCAGGAATGGAGGCAGATTTTAAGGAAAGATTACATATCTTTGTCAGGAGATCTACAAGTTCACATTTGAGTTCTTTCAGAACTCTCGGATGTATGCCATCTGGGCCTGGTGATTTTTCAGTTTTTAAGTTGTCTATCAGTTTTAGGACCTCCTCTCTCGTCACCTCAATCTGACTCAGGTCTTCCAACACCCCTCCTGAAATCAGTGGTTCTGGAGTGGGCAAGCACTTCTCATCTTCCACAGTGAAGACGGAGGCAAAAAATGCATTTAGCTTCTCAGCCATTTCCCTATCATCCTTCAATACTCCTTTTACCCCTTGGTCGTCCAAGGGCCCCACTGCCTCCCTGGCTGGTTTCCTGTTTCTAATGTATTTGAAGAAAGTTTTATTGTTGGTTTTTACGTTTTTTGCTATATGCTCCTCATATTCCCTTTTTGCCTGCCTGACCTCAGACTTGCATTTTATTTGCCATAGCCTGTGTTCCGTTTTATCAGCCTCACTGTGACTAGCTTTCCACTGCTTAAAGGAATTCTTTTTACTTTTTACAGCCTCCATTACTCTGTTTGTTAACCATGCAGGCTTTTTCCTATACCTGTTTGTGCCTTTCCTAACCTGCGGAATATATATTTTTTGAGCTTCTAGGATCGTAGTTTTAAATAGATCCCAAGCTTCCCCAATTGTTTTGACCCTTTCTACTTTTCCTTTCAGTTTCCTCCCCACGTGTCCCCTCATATCAGAGAAATTACCCCTTTTAAAGTTAAAAATGGTTGTGTGAGTCTTTTTGGCCAATTCTCTATTTGTACAAATGATGAACTCAACAACATTATGATCACTGTTTCCAAGCGGTGCAATCACTTTTACATCTCTCACCAGGTCTTGAGTGTTACTTAGGACCAAATCAAGGATCGCCTCTCCCCTGGTAGGTTCCGTGACCATCTGCTCCATAGCACAGTCATTTAGAGTGTCTAGAAACTCAATCTCTTTTTCCCGACTAGAACACATATTGACCCAATCAATGTGTGGGTAGTTAAAATCACCTATTATTACACAGTGTTTTTGTCTAGTTGCTATCTTTAAGGCATTCATCATTTTATAATCCTCCTCTATCCAATGGTGAGACCTCATTTGGAATACTGTGTGCAGTTCTGGTCACCACACCTTAAAAAGGATATTATAGCTTTGGAAAAAGTGCAGAAAAGGGCAACTCGAATGATAAAAGGGTTGGAACACTTTCCCTATGAGGAAAGGTTAAAGCGCTTAGGGCTCTTTAGCTTGGAGAAAAGACGACTGAGGGGTGACATGATCGAGGTTTATAAGATTATGCATGGGAAAGAGCAGGTAGAGAAAGAGGTACTTTTCTCCCTTTCTCACAATACAAGAACTCGTGGGCACTCCATGAAACTGCAGAGCGGTCAGGTTAGAACGGATAAGAGGAAGTACTTCTTCACCCAAAGAGTGATTAACCCTTGGAATTCACTGCCACAGGAAGTGGTGGCAGCTACAAGCATGGACAGCTTCAAAAGAGAATTAGATAAGCATATGGAGCAAAGGTCCATCAGTGGCTATTAGCCACAAGGTATAGATAGGGGCTCTGGGGCAAGTGATGCTCTGTGACTTCTTGGTGCTTGGGGGGGGGTCAACAGTGGGAGGGCTTCTAATGTCCTGGCCCCACTGGTGGACCTCCTGATGCCACTGGTATTTCTGGCCACTGTGTGACACAGAGTGTTGCACTGGATGGGCCTTTGGCCTGATCCAACATTGGCATCTCTTATGTTCTTATGACCTCCCCCTCTGAAGATGATGCCGATGACAGTGTGGATGCTGAGACGGAAAGGCTTGAAGTTCTACGTCTCTTTTCCAAGGCTCCCTCTATGCTGTGGAGTCTGGTGAGCAAAAATTCTACTTTGTGAGCTCCTGCTATTAAAGTTTTGAGCAAAAGATTTGGCTACTGCATAAATTAGTTTGCTCTGGAGCCATCCTTCCTGAGCCAAGAAGGATGGGAGATTGGATTTATACCCTGCTCCTTCACTCAGAATCTTAGAGTGGCTTACAAACTCCTTTCCCTTTCTCACAACAGACACCCTGTGAGGTAGGTGGAGCTGAGAGAGCTCTTTCAAGAACTGCTCTTGAGAGAACTGTGATTGACCCAAGGTCACCCAGCTGGCTTCATGTGGAGGAGTGGGGAATCAAACCCGGTTCTCCCAGGTTAGAGTCCACGCCCTTAACCACACCAAACCACTACACCAAATTAGGAGGGTGCTGACAGCCTCTGGAGAATTCCCTCAAGGAGAACCCTTGATTAGGTTGTTAGGGTCACCTGACCCTAGAGAGGTAGAAAGCATAATACGGGTATAGACCAGAGGGAAGCCATGCTAACTTTAGGCTCACGCCATGCTAGTGCGCCGCGATACTCTCTTGCTTCATCACGATGAATAGTTTCCTGTAGAGTAACTTAGACTACAGCTGGGATACTTATGCTGCAACAAGAGGTGCCATCTAATACCAAGTTATTCCATGTATTAGATAGAACAGTTAGCTTTTCTTGTTTCTCTGTTGCTGAGGTGCAGAAACCGTGATGTTTAGTGAGCTTTTATTTTAAAATCACTGATAAAACTTTATATATTTTAAAAACTTGAGTGCAATCTTCTCGTGGGTGTGTTCTAAAGGCTGGCAACAGGGAAAGGAGGAAACCTGGCCCCTTCCAGAGTCTTTCTGAGGGCCCCTCATCCCCACCTTCGCCTCAGGCCGGGACACCTTCTCTGGCTTGGGGGATGGCCACAACGCTGGCCTCAGTTGCCCCTGGGCAAGAACACGCACATGAACTGCCTTGTACTGAGCCAGACCCTCGGTCCACTGAAGTTAGCCTAGTCTCCTCAGTCCAGCAGCCGCTTTCCAGGGTCTCAGGAAGAGCTCTTTCACATCCTTTCACATGCCCAATCCTTTTAACTGGAGATGCTGGGCATTGAACCTGGGACCTTCTGCACGGCAAGCAGATCCTCTGCCAGTGAGCCACAGCCCCTTCCCAAGTAAGAAGAAGAAGAAGAAGAGAAGAGGAGAAGAGATTGTATTTATACCCCGCCCTCAGAGCGGCTTACAAACTCTTTCCCCTTCCCCTTCCCCTCCCCACAACAGACACCCTGCGGGGTGGGTGGGGCTGAGAGAACTCTGACACAAACGGCTCTTTTTCAAGGACAGCTGTGCCAGAGCTTGTGACTGACCCAAGGTCACATCAGCAGTCGCAAGTGGAGGAGTGGGGGAATCAAACCCGGTTCTCCCAGATTAGAGTCCGTGCACTTAACCTCCACACCAAACTGAAAGCTCTCAAAATGGTGTGTTGCTGTTCAATATTTTGACTCATGCCTCATCCCTATGGCAGCAATTCGCAATTTGGGCACCTATGAAGGACCCTTACCCAGAAAGGCCACATTCCCACAGTTCTCCAGCATGACTTCCCTGTACAGAGCTCTTTGTCCCGGATCCAGCAGGGCCCACTCTGCCTCAGAGAAATCGACGGACACCTCCTCCAAGGAAAAGGGGCACTGGAAGAAAAAGCAGATCCCCTCGTCAGAGATCTCGCCAGGCAGGGATTGCACACCAGAAGGGAGCAGTCTGGAAAGGTACAGGATGTCAGGCTCGGCATGGGTAAAGGGAATGGAGTCCACAGGCTCTCACCTGGACACCTTGTAGAAACCGCAGGAGCAAAAGCCCCCCGAGAAAGGAGGAGGGACCCAGGTTATCCCCTGCTCGTCTCTCCTACCTGGCCTGCAGGCGCAGCAGCAGTTTCCACTCCTCCGAAAAGATGACAGCTCGACGGCATCTCTTCACTGCCTGTCACTGAGACAAAGGAGGAAGGAAGGAAAAGTGTTTGCTTGATTGTTTCATGCTTTACATGTCACTGTTAGATTCGAGCCAGATGTGACTTCAGTGCATCTAGAGATGCATCGAGGATAATGTGAATGAGTGCTTAGCATGCTATCCTCACAACTAGGCTTTCAGCCAGATATGACATCACATCTGCCCCAAGACCCACCCCGAGGCCCTCCCCAAAGCTCCTGGGGGTGCCAGTCCACAGCCCGCCATCCCTCCTCCAGCGTCCTGTTTCCCACAAAAGCCCCCCAGATACCCCTATAAGCACAGGCAGAGAACCCAGATTTTCCCAAGATTATTGGCCCCTAGAAGCTGGTTTTCAGGGCTCTGCTGCCCCAGAAGGTGGAAAGGCGCCCTTGATTCACCAGGTTGAATCGCTCTGCCCAGGTTTGTCTACCTTTTATCTTTTAAACCACCTTGGGTTTCTCTTAGAAAGAAAGTGAGATATGACTATTTTAATTAATGTGAGGAGTTCCCCTCAATCAATTTGTCTAAATCCCCTTTGAGAGGCATCGAAGTTAATGGACACTGAGTGTCACAGATTAGCTTTGTGTTGGGTGAAGACGTATCTAATTCTTTTCCTGACCTGAACTCTCTACCCATCAAACTCATGGGGGTGCCCCAAACACATCCAGGAACAAAGAGGCATTACCACAGGAGACGGCATCTTGGACACCCTCATGGTCCTGCGTCCTCAGTCCTTGCTCCAAGGAAGCTCCTTCCGCCTCAGGGAATGTCGCTTCTGTCTTCAGGGATGGTGCCCACATATGAAAAAAAACCAGCGAGGGAGAGGGGTAAGAGCTGGAATGGATAAGAGCTCCCAGACTCTGCACCCTTCCATCAGAAGACCTGGGGAGTTATCTGGAGGGATAAGAAATTATCTAGTAGAAGAGGCTGCTGAAGGAGGCCGTGAAATCTCCCACTTGGATGAGTAACACTTGGACAGATGTCTGGCAAGGAACCTTTAGGATAAGGCCAGATATCGTGGCTTGGACATGGAGATAATCTCCTCACCTGTTCTGCCTGCCTCTTCTCCTCTGCCTGACTCAGGAGAAAACCTTCGGCCAAGGCCACTGCCTGGGAACTGGTCTCTGGCCCACATCCTCTGACCCAGCACTGCATTTCCTGAGGCAGGATGGTCAGGAACTGCTCCAGGATCACCAGGTCCAGAATCTGTGCCTTGGTGCACCTTTCCGGCTTCAGCCACTGGCTGCAAAGTCCATGGAGCTGGCTGCAAACCTCCCGGGGCCCAGCCGCCTCATGGTAGTGGAATTGCCAGAAGCGTCGGTAATGTAACTCTGAGATGGCAGTGAGCTGATCTGGCACTGGGCTTTCGAAGATTTCAACACCACTCCCAGCTTGGGTGGGACTGGGGTTTTTCCTTGCTGTCTTGCCAGTTCCAGGTCCTTCTGGGTTCTCCTCTTCCATCTCTTCACCCTTCTCTTGGGTCACCTCTGACTGTGGAAAGGTGTCTTTAATCACTTGGCCATGAAGAGAGGCTTCACTCTGAGGGAAAGGAGAGACAGAGACAGTTACATGGAAAATCAAAGAGAATCGAGATACAGCACTGAACACCACAAACCTTCATAGCTCAGGAGACACATGAGAATTGACCTGCTGGATCAGGACAAACGGGCTTCTTGTGGTTTGTAGACCAGGTTTAAGATCTTTTTTTCTATATTACAAACCAAGCTATTTGAGATATGCCTCCATGGTTCTTTGGGAAAGTTAGGTGTCTCTTTTTGGCTCTTTAAGGATGTTCACAAGTTTAGCCTCTCATTACATTGGCTCAGTCCGTCCAAGGGGCTAATTCTTATGGTACACCAAAAAATATCGGTGACCACTTTACCACTGTGCACATCTCTTCGACAGGCCTGAAGAGCACCCAGCTGAGGCGAAGGGGCAGGAATGTGTCTGTGAGAAGAACAAGCAACTGAGATGGGGAGAGAAAGGGAGAGAGGCTGAGGTTTGGCTCAATAATGTTGAGGCACAGAAATGCTCCCTCTGGGCATCTGATGTGGGGTAGTGGGCCTGCTACTCTGTGGGAATTCCCCTGGCTTCCACCCTTCCTCAGCTCTGCCAGGATATTTGTCATTAAAGCAAATAGTACCAAGACAGCAAGAGACACACCAGAGGTGGAATTTGCCCCTACGTGTCCAAGGCCACCACCCCCGGCCGGGGCTCAGGGAGCCAGGAGAACGTTTGGCCCGCCTCCCCTCCCCCGCCGGCATCGCAGCTGCCGCTGAGAACAGCGGTGGCCATAACATTTTAAAGAGCCCCGAAGGAGAGCTGGGGGAGCCAGAATGACCTCTTGCGCAAGAGGTGGACTTTGCCCCTATGAGTCCAAGGCCACCACCCTGGGGCTGGGGGGGGGACTCCCCCCCCCTTGCCCAACTGATGGCTGGTTGGAGCAGGGGGCCCCCTAGGCTCCTGACTGGCAGAGCGGTGCTCTTATGCGCTCCGGCAGGAACCGAGGCCTGCTTGTTTATATTGGCTTACATTATTAAAAACCCAATAAATGTATTGTTAAAAAAAAAAAAGGAAAGAGAATCCAGCAGAACCTGAAAGACTAACAAGATTTGTGGTAGGGGAGGAAATTTTGTGAGTCAGGGCTCACTTCTTCAGATACAGTGGGAATTGTATCTTGCAGAGTGGGGTGATTTCATATCTAAGGGGCGTTGGACTCCCATTCTAGCTGTATCTGAAGAAGTGAGCAGTGACTCACATGAGAGCTCATCCCCCCCACAAATCTTTCAGGTGCTCCGGGACTCTTGCTCTTTTCTCTTGCTACAGACAAGCGCAGCTATGCGTCTTGATCTAGATCCCTACCTTTAACCTTCCTTGTATTGAAAGACAATTATCACACACGCGCCCCAAATTCCGCTTACAGAGCGACCCAAGACTGGAACCTAACAGGGTTGCCAACCTCCCGGCGGGGCTTGAAGTTCTCCCAGAATGACAACCGGCCTCCATCAGACAGAGATCAGTTCCCCCGGAGGAGACCGTCGCCTTGGAGGGAGGACTCGGTGGCCTCGCTCCACTCTGAGGTCTCCCCCCATCCCCGGCCCCCAAACCGGCCCTTTCCCGGAATGCACAGACCCCCCCCCCCCCAAAATGTCCAGGAATCTCTGCAGTCCTGCTGCGGGCAACCCTGTCCGGCAACCCTGGCCTCCCTCCTTCCCTCCCGAGAGCTCAAAGCTTCCTCCCCCGAGGACTCACTCCGAAGGGCACCTGCCCGCCATCCGGCTGCGGCGAGGCTTTTCCCGGCTGCTGCAAACCTGAAGCCCTCCCCGGTCTCTTGCCCCTTGCAGAGGGAACCCCCACCCCGCCCCCAAAAGAGCCTTTCCTCCTTTCCGACCCCCTCCCCCTTGCTCGGCCTCTCTAGCAACCGGTTCTGTGGGCTTAACCCTTTCGGTGCTGCAGACGAAGGGAAACTCTCCCCTGCCCCCTCCAGGAGGCGCTTCAGCCCAGCTGCCGTCCGCCACCCTCGACGCACGCAGCTCAGTGGGGCTGCTCTGGAGGAACTCTGCACGGGGGCTGTTCAGCCTCTCAATAGGAGGAGGAGGCTAAAGCTGGGTCCCAGGCAGTGTCCCCTCTAAGCTGAGTTAGTGTGAGATAACTCACAGTTTCTTAGCCTCCGGCTCATACATTTTTGTCTTAGCTCAGGAAGGGATGGCTCCAGAGCAAACTAATTTCTGCAGAAGCCAAATCGCTCGCTCACAACTTTCATGCCAGTAGCTCACAAAGTAGAATTTTTGCTCGTAAGGCTCCAAAGTTTAGAGGGAACATTGGTCCCAGGTCCTTCTTCGCCTCCGAGTTCCTCATTCATCCCCCAGGTGTCAGGACCGGAAAACTCGGTTGGGCGAGGGGATTACATATTATGAGATTATTCTGTGTTTTTCACAGACAAGTGTGTCTGAATAACTTTATTTTGCCCCTGAAGAGAAAACGCAGGACCTCAAGTGCAAATTCTCTCCTGCCCACACACATCTAGGAGTGGAGTGTGTTTGTGTGCTGCAAACCTTTTCTTGCCCACACACAGCCCCCTGTCTGAAACAGCGCCTCACCCACAACAGTGCAACCTCTAATGTGAGCATGGACACTCCTACTAGAGCTTGCAAGAAACTCCGTTGCTGCATACACCCAGACAACACAATCACTGGACCTGACAACATATTCGTTGTTTATAATATATAATAATAAATAATATCATTTAAAGGTGTTATTTTTCTAGTCAGTGTAAAGTTGATCGAACCGTATGATTATTCAAATAATTTTTACATTTATATATAGGAAGACCCAACATGAGAATGGTATACTATTAAATGCTGACAGTGCCCTTGGGTTCTCTACATAGGTCAGACACAGGTCAAATCCTATGCCAAATCTGACATCAAGAATCACAAGACTGAAAAACCAGTAGATCACTTCAGCCTTCCAGGACATTCAACTAAAGTAGCTTTTTTATTGCAAAGGAATTTCAGAAACAGACTAGAAGAGGAGACAGCTGAATTACAAGTTATTACAGCACTCCAGACAATGGAAACTCCAGAGCTTAACAGAGGTATCATAGATACCCTTAACAGGATGGAGGAGAAATATGTAGATATTTTCTTCTGGTAGGAACCATGTATGCACACTGTTTCTTGGCTCCATGGATTACTGCACAACAGTGGTATCAAACTCCTGATGCACCCATAAAAGATCTTTTAAATCTCCCACCTCTCAGAAATACAGGACAAGAGCTCTGGATAGACGGAAGTCCAAACTTAGTGTCGGGTGTATGTTGTGGGACAGTAAACACACGTGGCTATCATGTGGTGTAACGAGAGATCCCCATGCCAGGATCCATGCCATAGAGACATCCAGGCTAGACTACTGTAATACATCTAGTCTGGATGCCACCATGGTGTGGCTCCAGGTGGCCGGATCAGCTGTATCAAGGTGAGGAGTCATCTTATGGCTAACGCTGAATTGGGAGAAAGCATTATTTGGAGAGTTGTTAACTCGCTTCTACACCACTGTTGTTGGAGCTGGTATAACTCTTAACTAAGTCAGCTAAGGGTCAGCTGAACTCCATCAAAATTGGGAAGCTTTATGTCATTCAAGATCTCCACCTTCCCAACCAACATGACCTCTCTCTTTTCAGGGGTTAGCTGCTCTTTCTTCACGCTTAGAAAGCGTGTCCTCCCTTCTCCCTCACCACCCATGTCAGGCTTGGGTTTAGGGGTGGAGGGGCTCTTTTTAACTATAGGATATATGACAAGCAGCTCTGATAAAGAGAAAGGGGAATGGTCAGCAAATTCTCCTAGGCCTTTCTGGCTGGAACATCTGCAGAGATTTGAAAAAACAAACAAACTCTAGATCTTCAGCTTCATCTAATTTAGATACTAGAGGGTTTGAGAAACCACTCAAAGGGGCCTCAAAATTGTCCATCTCCAAACTCTCTTATTACACGCTAAAGGCAGAAGGGGCAGTTCCAGGCAATGACACTTTCTTGCGGGCACAGGAGTAGTCTTACATTCAGGAGCAGTTTTGCCTAAGGCTGTGGCCAATGCTTGTAACAATTGTGAATAAAAATAATAATAATGAGATGCCCCTAGGGCAGCGGTTCTCAACCTGTGGGTCGCGACCCCTTTGGGGGTCGAACGACCCTTTCACGGGGGTCGCCTAAGACCACTG